TTGTTCTTTCCTATCAAACATCTATCGTCCTTATCTCCCCTTCTTCTTTTTTATGTTTGTAACTCTCTTGTAACACCTCTAATCTTCTGGCGCTCATATGACCTTATGCAGTTGCGAGTGCCGTAAAACCTGTACTAAAAACTAAGAGCCTGTGTTAGTATTGTGTTTGTAAAATGCTCAGAGCCTGCGTTCTATAATCGGGATTGAATGTTATATAAATGTCAAATATTATTACCATTGTTACAAAAATATATGGTAGATGGTACCATGGTAAACATATGTATAATTGCTGCCTTTGTTTGAAACGTTCCTTTCAGAACCTGTCTCTGTGCCCTGATGATGAGTCCACCATCTTGTCTTCCTTCTACAATAGTATTGCTGCTCTCAACGTCAAACAGGGTAAGTGGGTGGTTGGCGGGTGCTCTGGTGTGGTTAGCTCCTTCTTTCCTATCAAACATCTATCGTCTTTATCTCTCCTTCTTCTTTTTTTGTGTTTGTTACTCTCTTGTAACACTTCTAATCTTCGGCACTTATATGTCGACTTTATTGTGTTGCATGTGCTGTGAAACACTTACTAAAATAACAAACTAAAACAAAACTGGGTAATGGAACTTTTAACACAAACATGCACACCCACATGCACGCTCAAACTTGCACACACATGCTCACACGTGCACATACACATGCACATACCCAAATACAGATACAAGTACAGTCTTAACTGTGAAGTGTACTTTAAATCCTTTTGTCGATTCTTTGTGAAACATCTATGAATATTGTGGAGGTCACATTTTACATGTATGTAATTTTGATGCTTTTTTTAAAAACCCAATACTTTTGATGCATTTCTTAAAAAATAAGCTGAGTATTACACAAGATTTACGAGAAAATTCTTGCCTTAAATATTCAGCTTCAGAGCTTTAATGATGAATATGTGAATACGATTTGTTGTTCAGGGTTGTTGTTGTTGTTTGTTGTTTGTTGTTTTCAAATCCCTTTAGCTGCGAGCATGTCGCTCTTGGCAGAGCAATGCCTCCCATTGTTCAGGGTAAAATGCTATAGATGAATTTCTCCAAAAAGAGGCTTAGTACGAGTATTATGCAGGTAGACTTATAAAAAAATTGTAGCTTTGAATTTTGAGTTTCCGAGCTTTTTTGATAATTATGTGAATACTGTTTGCTGTTCAGGGTAAGATTTTGCTTCAAAACTTTTTGGTTCTCAAGTTCTTTATCACGTTGGGTTGTGTTTACTGAAACGAGTTCTGTTTTTTTAAATGAGTTCTGTTTTTGTTTGTGTTTATTTCCAGTGGAGAAAAATGAACTGTTTGACTTCCGAGGTTTTCGCTTGGACTGGTTTCGACTACAGGTAAGATAAGATAAGATAAGATAAGATACATCTTAATTGTCCAGATCCTGGCACATTGGTTTGGTGTTTCACCACGTACACACTCTCACACACACACACACACACACACACACACACACTCACACTCACACAAAGACACACACACAAACAAACACACATACACTAACACACGCGCACGCAGGTTTACAGTCACATGCTTACTATAAATGAACAGCAATATGAACCAAAATAATCTTAAGCTAGATACGTACTTAGTGTTATTCTGATGCATGCCCTAAGGTCAACCCTGCTTCCCTCTTGTTCTTCTTCTTATTTTGTTTGTAATATTCAAGTCTTAGTAATACTAATAATGTGGGTGGTTGGTGGGTGTTCTGGTGGGTTTGCTCCTTCTTTCCTTTCGTACGTCTATCGTCTTTATCTCCCGTCCTTCTTTTTTGTGTTTGTTACTCTCTCGTAACACATCTAATCTTCGGCACTTATATGACCTTATTGTGTTGCAAGCGCCGTAAAACCTCTACTAAAACTTTTTTTTAAACTATTATCAAAGCAGACCCTTGAACACTCGGGAAACGCAGGTAATACAAGGGTTGAATATTAGAGGTGTAACTAGAGAGAAACATACTAAGAATAAAAGGAGGAGAGATAAGGACGATAGATGTTTGATAGGAAAGAAGGAGCAAATCACACCAGAGCACCCACCAGCTACCCAATAATAGGTTCTCTAAATCATGATGAAGTACCGACCAATTTGTAGTTGTTTGGGAGGTTAAAGTCACCAATAGCTAAAGACTTTCAATCAAATGAGTCCAATCCAAAAAAAACAACAACCCAGAAATATTTCATTGACAACCAAAATGTTTCTGTTTTTTTAGGATTGGACTCATTTGATTAAAAGTCTTCAGGGAATATGCTGCTGATATTTCTTTCTTGAAATGAGGACCTTTCGTACTTGGCTTAACCTTGAAATTACCCATTTGGTGGGATAGAGATCGAGAAAAAAGATTCAAAACTCACATTTGTTAGAGTCCTTAGCCGACAGAGGCAAATAGTGGTAGCATAATGGCGAAAGTTCATCAATTGAGAAGTTTATTGCTCAACTAATTGTACACCAATCTTCTTCAAATTTTGTGAGGATATAAAACAAACTAAGATCTAAATTCATACAAGGATTTTTAATTAAACCTTTTTCAAATTGTACCCACATCTGCATCCTGGTACGTGGGGAGAAAGGTTTTGCGCCTTGCGGGCTGGGTGGGTGGAAAACGTTAATTGATTGATCGTGCAATATTGTTACTAATTGTTACTTACTGTGTCTGCAGGCCTACACCAGTGTGAGCAAAGCGGGACTCGAACTGCGGAACCATCATGAACTGGCCCGGCACATGAACGCCGTGGTTTTCCACACCAAGATGGTGGACTTCCTGGATGAGATGATCAACGAGACGGGAGATCTCTCCATTTACTGGTGAGGAAACGGAGAACAGATGAGATAAGATGAGATAGGGTTAATCTATATTGTCGAGACACTGGCTTATTAGTTTGGTGTTTGCTTCACCGCACACACACAGACACTGACACACACACACACACACACACACACACACACACACTCACACACAGACACAGACACACACACTCACACACACACACACACACACACACACACACACACACACACACACACATACACACACACACACACACACACACACCTGTGCGCGCGTGCGTGCACACACACACAGTGCTTTTCTTTACTCAATCAAACATCTCCTTTCATATATCTCTCTGTGTCTCTACGACAGTTTCTACACCACTCTGTGTCTCTGTGTCTCTCTGTATATCTCTGTATCTCTGTGTCTCTCTGTATATCCCTGTGTCTCCCTACGACAGTTTCTACTCTACTCTATATCTTTGTGTCTCTCTCTGCGACAGTTTCTACTCTACTCTATATCTCTGTGTCTCTCTGTTCCCTCATATATCTCTTTATCTCTCTGCGACAGTTTCTACTCTACTCTATATCTCTGTGTCTCTCTGTTCCCTCATATATCTCTTTATCTCTCTGCGACAGTTTCTACACCACTCTATATCTCTGTGTCTCTCTGTTCCCTCATATATCTCTTTATCTCTCTGCGACAATTTCTACTCTACTCTATATCTCTGGGTCTCTCTGTTCCCTCATATATCTCTGTGTCTCTCTCTGCGCCAGTTTCTACACCACTCTATATCTCTGTATCTCTCTGCGACAGTTTCTACACCACTCTGTTCCCTTATATATATATATATATATGTCTCTGTGTCTCTCTGCGACTGTTCCCTCATATATCTCTGTGTCTCCCTGCGACAGTTTCTACACCACTCTGTTTGAGCACCAGTTCAAACAGTGCATGGAGTTCCTGGCCCAGCACCGCTACAGCATCATCTTCCCCATGATCTGCTCCCACTTCATGAACGCCACGCACAGCCTGTGTCCCGAGGAGGTCAGTCCACACTTTTTTGTTGCATTTTTGCTTTTTTAATCCGCATATACGTGGGTGGTTAGGTTGGCAGGTGCTGTGGTGTGGTTCGCTTCTTCTTTCCTATCAAACAGCTATCGTCATTATCTCTCCTCCTCCCTTCTTTTTTATGTTTGTTACTCTCTTGTAACACGTCTAAGCTTGTGGGTGATTGGCGGGTGCTCTGGTGTAGTTTGCTTCTTCTTTCCTATCAAACATATATCGTCTTTATCTCTCCTCCCTTCTTTTTTATGTTTGTTACTCTCTTGTAACACCTCTAAGCTTCGGCACTTGTATGACCTTATTGTGTTGCAAGTGCCGTAAAACTCTTACTAAAACTAATTCCGGATATCCCTCAAACTGAGGTGACCAACACAGGTGTTGGTTTTGTAGTTGTTGTTTTTTTTGGTGATTTTTTCGTGAGTTGTTTTTTCCGTGGACATAGAAAGTGTGATATTTTTGTATAAAGTAAGTGTGGGTGGTTGGCAGGTGCTCTGGTATAGTTTGCTCCTTCTTTCCTATCAAACATCTATCGTCCTCATCTCCTCTCTTTCTTTTCTTTGTACATTACTCTCTAGGAACACCTCTAATCTTTGGCACTTGTGTGACCTAATTGTGTTCCAAATGCCGTAAAACTCATACTAAAACTTAGAAATGAAAAAAAGAATGACAGATTTTTGGTTTTCTTATCCCTCATATTGCGGTGATCAACGAAAGTGTTTTTGTGAAATTTTGGTCTGTTTTGTCCCCTCCCATTAACATGGAAAGCATGATGTTTAAGTTGAAAGTGTATGTGAATAAGATTAGTTCAATCCTGAAAACCAGAAACTTCTCAATAACAAATCAAAATTAAAGTTTTTAAAGACTGTGTCGGGTAAATTGCTGGAAAATTCAAATATAGCGCTCAATTATTTTTTAAAAATGAAAATGGAAATATGTGGTTAACTTTCAAATTATTTGTGCACGGTTGGGGGTATTTATCTCTGTTTATTTTCTGCTGTGATTACTCTTTAGAGCGCAGTCCGTCAAAGCCAGACATTGCTAATACTTCGCTAGTTGAGCTAGTACACACGCTGTTTTGACGTTTGGGAAGGAGATATTAGCACTTTTTCTTAAAATGTAGTTGTTCATTTCTTTTTGTATTTGATTCATAGATAGTATATTTATTTGATAAAGAGCTGTGGATGCTTTTATTAATTTCTATTGTTTGGCTGTCATTTTGAGCTCAGTGGTGAAATTGAATACCTCTGTGAACATTAATTCCATCACACAGAACTTTTTTATATGAAAGGGTAGGATGTGGTGTGGCTGAAGAGAAATTTACAGATCTTGAGGACTTAACCGAGAAAAATCATTTGAAAATGTGAATAGAATGTCCATCATGAGCAGACAGGAGTTTCTTTGGGTTGGGGTTTGTGGTGGGCGGTGGTGGTGGGTGGGGGTGGGGGGAGGGGTGGGGGATTCTAGAAATCAGACTTGGCATTACTCATAAACAAGCTGAAATGATTTTTAATTCTTATGCTGGGTACAAAATGTCTTCAGTCATTCCTTACTCTAGCTTAGTTTTTCTTCTTTTTTTTTTTTTTTTTTTTTCTTCTCTAGGGATAAAAAAAATGAAGTTCTTAAATACTCAACTGCTTTGACCCGTGCATTGGCAGTTGTTGTTTTGTTGTTTTTTTCTCTTATACTCTGCTTACATTTTTTACACATGCTTTTCCATACGAATAGTTTTAAATCTTGTTATTATCGAAAAAAAAGAAGTGATGTTTTCTGAGTAGTCTGTGACTCATGTAGCAAACTTTGTAGGAAGCTTACACAGCGTCCAGGTCTTGTGACCGTAATTTACTTTTTGGCTTGGGCCTTTTGTCTATTCGTTGTTCTCTTTTCCTTTTTTATACACGCAATTTTAGGCTGGGAGAAATATTTCTTTTGCGAGAAAAAGCGTTGTAGTGGTAGATGTGGATATGTTATATCGTGACCTCAGTGATTTCTTGTCCTGTGATCTCCATTTTTAGTAACAGTGAAAACAGTTCGTAACAAAGATTGAGCTTAATTAAGAAGAAGTCACATTTTCAATGTTTAAAAAAAAAATGGAGATAGGACGACAAGAAAGCACCTAAGGTCGCGATATATTGGTAGATATTTGCTATGTATTGGTGACGTATAACCACCTATCTGCTCTTTACTTCACAGAGTGTAACTACGATAATATTATATGCTTGTACTGCAGTACTGCACATAACACTACGTTGTTGGTTTTTCTCTCCCTGATTTCGAAAGCTCGCTCCTCTGCGCTCATATGCTCTCCCACCACATCACCTGCACTCTGTCGCACAAGCGGATAGTTAGAGAACGTTAGGAGTACGCCAGTGGCCAATATTTATTGTAACAGCCGTCTTGTTTGTGTCATAAAATAGTGTTCTTCATTCTGACAAAAGACAATTTAAGAAGTTCCAGACCTACTGTCTCACTGTCTGATTTGAAAAAAAAAAATGTGGAGTAAAAAAAGAAAGCTTTTTTTTTTTCATTTTAGTCAAGTGTTTGTTATGATAATGCTCATTATATTATGACGTATGTTAAAGAATAGGTCAAACAAGATGGCTGTTACTATAAATATCGGCCAATGGCGTACTCCTATCGTTCTCTAACTATCCCCTTGTGTCTTTGTCACCCCTTGTGCCTACTTACGTACTCACTCCTCTGTTTTCTGACCTTGAACTTGATGATACCCTCTTCCACGTGCACACCATGTCTCATTATCGTTGTTCTCCTCATCTGGACCATTATCATCATCATTATCATCATTATCGTTATCACAATCTCCATGGTATTTACTATCATCAATATATTGTCATCATCATTGTTATTTTCATATCTATTGTATTTACTACCAATGTCAATGTCATCTTCATTATCATTACACTTGGCAGCCTCTTTTTCATGAATTTCTCTCTCTTTTTGTCTCTGTCTCACTCTCTGTGTGTCTCTCTCTCTCTCTTTCTCTCTCTTTTGTCTCTGTCTGTCAGTCTGTCTGTCTGTCTGTCTGTCTGTCTGCCTGTCTGTCTGTCTGTCTGTCTGTCTGTCTGTCTGTCTGTCTGTCTGTCTGTCTCTCT